GGCACCAGGCCAAGAGTCTGGTGCCCGAGAGTTGAGTATGGGAAGAGCCCGCCCATCGGTCAGAACGCCGCAGCGGGCTATTCTGCTGCGGGTGGCTCTGCACCGCGAGTTCAGGGGCAACCGAGCCAGTGAGATGCCCTCCTGTGCACCTGGGACTGGTCAACTGGGGGGGGCGCCGGGCAAATCTTTGCACCCCAGCGCCACATATACTTAAGACAGTCCTGGGTTTAGACCACAGTGCCATCTGCATCCCTGCTCATTTTAATTTTTTTAAAACCAGCTGGGGAGAACATTAGAAAGTTACATCTATTTAATATCAAGGCAGGGTCCTCTTAGTGGCTGCTCCAGTGTTATGGAATAGATACCCAAGGAAAGCAATAGATGCTCAACCCTATAGTAGTCAGGGGTAAATGGGTGCCCTCCCAAAAACAGGGAGCATAGGTAACAGAACTCCCCCCCCCCATTTGTTGCAAAGCAACTGGTAATTAGAGATACACTTGCTTTAAACCTGGAGGTTCCATTTACCTATCATAGCTATTTATTAGATGTCTCACCTGTCCTTTACCGTATGGTCCTAGGGCAAGTTACAATAGAATATACCATTTTATTTTATTTTTAAATGCACCCATTGAGTTGCATCCAATTAGTGCTACTCAAAGTAGACCTACTGAAATTAATGGGCCTAAGTTAGACATCCATTTCAGTGAGTCTGCTATGAGTAGGACTAACATTGGAGACAATCCACTGCAGTGATAAAACATGCAAACTGCCACAACTGGAACAGAATAGTGGGTGGGGACTCCACAAAACAAAATACCTAAACCGTCAGAGGCCAGGGTGGAGATGAATCTTCAGTGAATGGTGAAAGCACAAGACACACCTCCATGGGAGGGGGAAGTTTCACTGTTTGGGGGCTACCATAGAAAAAGTTCTTCCCTGCACTTTTGAGGGTGGTGGAACTCTCTGCATCTCTTAACACCTGATAGGGTTTGTGGGAATGGAGATGGTCTTTTAAACAATTGGAAATATGGCACCAGGCTTGTATAGAACAGGGGCAGTGATTTATGAAAGATAGCAAACGGTCTCTAGTACCTTGGTGGTTTGGACAATAAAAACTGGCAAATTAGGATTTATGGAAGGCCCATAGCTGAGTGGTAGAACATCTGCTTTGTGGACAGAAGATCCCAGGTCCAATCCTTGGCATCTTGAGACTAGGAGAGACTGAAACCTTGGAGATCCACTGCTGGTTAGTGTTGGCAGTGCTGAGCTATATGGACCAATGGTCTGACCCAGGGCTCAGCTACATTAGTAAAAAATAAAACGTTATAAATGTTATAACACTGTGACACCAGATGGCGATGTAGAACTGAAATCGGAACTCTGTGAAATTTTCCATTGCAAGCTTCAAAATGGTTTTTTTTCAGAGTAGTTTTTTTTATATATATAGCTGTGTAGATGCAGCCTCAGTAGAAGACAAATTCCTGTGTTTCCTATGGCCAGGTAACCTGAAAGGTCACCAGTGGTGGAATTCATGCTCCGGCACCGGGGGGTGGGGTGGAGAGCAGGTGGGGGCGGGGCTGGTGTGCATCCCGGGGGCATGGCACACCACCCACAGGGGCGTGATGGGCATCCTGGGCATGTGGCGCACCGCCCACAGGGGTGTGGCATGCCACCTGGGGCCGTGGCGCCCAGCGCGGGGGGAGGCAGCCGTGATGGCAGCCCACCGGGATCGCGCTGCTGGGGGGGTGCTCCCCCGCACTCCTCTTCCTCCGCCACTGCATAGAACATCTGAGGAAGCTCCACTTGTGGTACCACACTTTTGAGAATATTGGAGGATGGTGAACATAAAGGAGACATTTTCTGATCTCGCCCTTGAACTATGAAGTGCCCATCCCTCCACTATATGTGAAGCAGCAACTCTTTTGTCCAGGAAAAAGTTCAGGCCCTGTTTTTTGCCTGACTTCAGCAAGAACTCTTTTGGCCAGGCATCCCCAACCTTCAGTCCTCCAGATGTTTTGGACTACAATTCCCACCACTGACCAACATCCCTGACCACTGGTCCTTTAAGCTAGGGCTCATGGGAGTTGTAGACCAAAACATCTGGAGGGCCGCAGGTTGGGGGTGCCTGGTTTTAGCAGTGAAACCATGGAAGGCGGTAGACTCTCCTTTACAAGAGGTTTTTAAGCAAAGTTTGGGTGGCCATTCATCAGGGATTCTTTAGCTGTGATTCCTGCATTGCAAAGGATTGCATTAGATGACTCTTGGGGGTCTTTCCAACCCTACAGTTCTATGATTCTGTTAAGCTTTTTTGCTACTGTTATGCTAGCTATGTTCTATTTTTGTTTTAATGTTATTTTCTTTCTTTTTTGAATGTTTTGCAGTGCTTAGAGATTTATTTTTTTTAAATGGTGGTTTATCAATGCTTTTCAACAACTATATAAATCACAAAGCTGGTAGCAGAACAGAGAACATTCTACATTTTAAAACAACAACACTGTTTTCTTTATTTTATAGAGGTCAGTTCAGATTTCTTTGAAGTCACCTCTCAACATCATGCCAGTCTCTGGTTCTTACTTCTTCCTCTGCATGCTGCTTTGCTTGTTTCAAAGAAAGGGGGGAGGAGAGAGAGAGAGAGAAAGAGAGAGAAACCACACAACTTCTTTAAATACTACTTCTGCAATTCTAACCCAGCAGGATAAGCTAGAAAACAAATTAAAACCATGACAATAACCATCCTGCACCAGGGTGAGAAAGAAATGGATTGGCAAAGGAGAACTTTAATAGCCTCACTTGAGCTTAAATCTATTTATATTATAATAAGAGATGTGCGTGCATGCACAGAGCCACGTGTACACAAAGCAGGAAGGAGAAAAATCAATCATATGCAGTTTAAAACAAGCAGACCTGCCACTAAGAGTCCATCATGCTGAGAGACAAAGAGAGAAAAATTGAGAAAAGCAATCTGTAGCTTGGCGCTATGAGGAAGGCAGGTGTTGGGGTGGTACTTCCAATATCAATTCATCAAAGGAGATGCTCATTTCAGACAAAGAGAGGTGAAGAGTTGGAGAGTCAGGAACAGGCACATCCAGGGGTGGCTGGTGCCCATTGGGACTGGCAGGGCTGAAGGCAAAGAGAGGCCAACAGCATATGGTGCCAGAGCCAATGACAGGCTAAGCCAACTAATTTTGTCCCTGTCCTCCTGCCTACTGTGTTCTGAGGAGAAAGCTGACAAGCAGAGCCACACCCTGTGCAATTTGAGCCAAGTGTGGTGTAGTGGTTAGAGTGCTGGACTATGACCTGGGAGGTCAGGATTCAAACCCCCACTCAGCTGTGAAACTCACTGGGTGTGGCCATGGGCCAATCACTGCCTCTCAGCATGACCTACCTCACAGAGTTGTTGTGAGGATAAAATGGAAGAAGAAGAAGAAGAAGAAGAAGAAGAAGAAGAAGAAGAAGAAGAGGAGGAGGAGGAGGAGGAGTTTGGATTTGATATCCCGCTTTATCACTACCCGAAGGAGTCTCAAAGCGGCTAACATTCTCCTTTCCCTTCCTCCCCCACAACAAACACTCTGTGAGGTGAGTGGAGGAGCAGAGGTGAGTGGAGGAGCAGGGACGCGAACCCGGTTCACCAGATTACGAGTCTACCGCTCTTAACCACTACACCACAACTGGAGAGTTGAAGAACTATGTGCCGCCGCCACCGTGAGCTTCTTGGAGGAAAAGATGGGAAAGTATAAATAAATAAAAATAGGTAAGGCAGTCGGGTGGGGGCTGGCAACGGGCAGACTGAGATATACACAAAGCAGTGCCCCCATTTGCCCTAATGCGCCAGCATCCACTGGCACACATTTCTCATGAAAGGTAGTGGCATCTCAGGTTGTCAATGTGCCTTGTCCTCACCCCAACCCATGGAACAATTCCTGTGCCTTCAAGACATGGGTGGAGAACCTCAGCCCTGGAATTCAAATTCATTCCTCCAGTTCACTCTGTCTGGTTCACAGGACTCTCTCCAGGCCACACAGCTCACCAGCCGTGAACATGTTAGACGACACAGCGATTCTTCAAACAGCTCTTCTTTATTCAGATACCAGAACAGAACTAGGCTGAGGAGCTCAGTCAGCCTGCTTATATAGAGCTCCAGAACAATGCAACTGTTGCCATTTTCTAAAACTATCCAATCACTGAACGTCACTTTTCGATCCTTCATTTGCATACAAAACTATCCAATCACTGAACGTCACTTTTCGATCCTTCATTTGTATAACTATCTACAGTATCCCCCTGCTGGCCCAGGGTGAGAACTTCAGTACATAACAGATAGATAGATATACAGTGGTGCCCCGCAAGACGAATGCCTCGCAAGACGGAAAACCCGCTAGACGAAAGGGTTTTCCGTTTTGGAGGTGCTTCGCAAAACGAATTTCCTATGTGCTTGCTTCGCAAGACGAAAATGTCTTGCGAGTTCCTGCGGGGTTTTTTCCCTCCCCCCCCCTTTTTCCCCAGCCGCTAAACCACGTCTCAGCTGATGGTTAAGCCGCTAACAGCTGATGCTAAGCCGCTTATCAGCTGATCCTAAGCCGCTTATCAGCTTATCGTTAAGCCGCTTATCAGCTGATGTTAAGCCGCTTATCAGCTTATCGTTAAGCCGCTTATCAGCTGATCCACTAAGCCTGCTAAGCCGCTAATACTGTAGCACTAATCCGCTAAACCACTAATGGGCTTGCTTCGCAAGACGAAAAAACCCGCAAGACGAAGAGACTCGCGGAACGGATTCTTTTCGTCTTGCGAGGCACCACTGTAGATCTTCAGTTCTATCTAATTGTTGTCTAATGATGACTTTTTTTTCTATGTTTAAAGCCTTTTCATATTTTTATCTGTAAACCGCCTTGAGTCTCTGTTGGGGAGAAAGGGGAGGTATATATATAATATAACAACAACAACATACACGGACTGGCAATGACTCTTTGGGGTTTCAGGCAGAGGGAATTCACAGACCTACGTGGAGATGCCATGGATTAAACCTGGGACCTTCTGCATGCCAAGCAGATGCTGTACTGCTGAGATACAGCACTTCCTAGGAACCACTGGAAGCAAAATAATGAAGTAGAAGGGCTGTGGACTTCATCCAGCAGGTGACTTCTTATGGCCTTATGTTCTAACCGTTCCATCAAAATCAGAAATCCAGCAGATACAGCTTCCTACTTGCCTGAAGACAGACAACATGGTATAGTGGACAGAATATGAGTCAGCTAGAAAGCTCCCTGGGTGCTTCCCTCACAAGACCATTGTAACAATAAACTGGATGTGTGGGAAGCTGACACTTTCGCAGCCTCCTTTGAGCTGGATGGATGGATGAATTGTCAAAGCCACAAAATATATGCTAGGTGAAGATAGTGGCACTCCAACTGCTAGGAATCCATAGGTGATTGTGGGACTAGGCCTTGGAACCTGGAAGAAAAAAAAACACACACCCAGATACTGTCACTCAGGCGGGTTTATTTATTTGCTCAGTCAAAATAGAAGGGGCTGCCTAGGTATTTAAGAAAGCCATTTAAATTGGTCAAGGCTTCGTTGGCAGGATTAATTCAAGAGTTTTTACCATGGCACCTAAAAGATAAAATAGCAACAGTCAGAGATGCTGTCCCTGTCAAAATCCCCACTTCTGCAGGACATGGTAGTTGAGATGTAATTTTACTGATATCTGCTTCCTAGCTTTCATCTTTAAACCTGGAAACTGTAATTTTCAAAATTCTGAGATCCACAAAAGGGCCCTTTGGTTGTGCCTCTCCTGAAGAGCTCTGTGTAACTCGGGGAGCTGACATTGTCTTTAGACCAAGCAAGCCTTTTCGCTTTCTTAAATGCTTTTCCTCCGCCTGTATTTTTGATAGAAAAAGGAGGTGGAGGAGGGAGGCAAGATTCTTTATGTAGCTCTGCAATGCCTCCTTGTGGCATAAGCATGAGCTACAAGCAGGAAGAATCCTCAATGCTTCTACCATTAGAAGAAAAGTGGGAAAATAGCCTAAAGTTTGGCTAGCAACACCCTCCACTAATCAGCTTTCAATGATCAACCTCACAGTAATCTTATGCAACTTCATCCAGTACATAAAAACTAGATCTTGTGGGCAAAAATGAAGACATTGGGAAGAAGCTTTAGAAAGCATCCAGGCACTCATTTGAACATTTTAATCTGCTGTCAACAGCAAGAAATAAGCAATCCTGTTCAGAGTTTAGGTTGCCAACTTTTTCATTTGCTTCCCCTACAAGTCTCCTGTGCCTTCAACTGCCATTCAATAAGAAGTGCAACAGGAAATTGAGTGTATTAAACACGAGGCTCAACTTTTCCCTGCATACAAACTTTAACAATAAGCAAAACATATCAGCTGCATTTCACCAGGCAGTTGTAAAACAGACATGCAAGCCCTGTTTGGGGGGGAGGGGGTGCAGAGGGGCAATACTCTGTTTTGAAGGCCAACGTCTGGCTTGATTAAGGGTAGGTAAAAAGGTAAAGGGACCCCTGACCATTAGGTCCAGTCGCGACCAACTCTGGGGTTGCGGCGCTCATCTCGCTTTATTGGCCGAGGGAGCCGGCGTACAGCTTCTAGGTCATGTGGCCAGCATGACTAAGCTGCTTCTGGTGAACCAGAGCAGCACACGGAACCACTGTTGACCTTCCCGCCGGAGCAGTACCTATTTATCTACTTGCACTTTGACGTGCTTTCGAACTGCTAGGTTGGCAGGAGCAGGGACCAAGCAACAGGAGCTCACCCCGTCACAGGGATTCGAACTGCCAACCTTCTGATCAGCAAGTCCTAGGCTCCACAGCGCCACCCATAGGCAGATGCAAAAAGAAAACGGGGCTCTTGCATCTTTAATAGTTGTGTTCCTAAAGTTCTCTTTTCTGCAGAACCATTAAAGGTGTGCAAGCCTCTCCTCCATTTGAGCCCAAGCCCAGCCCTTGACGCTGTGCCTTCAACAGCCAAGTCTGATCTACAACAAGGGTGTGGAAGCTTTTCCAACCTGAGGGTCATAGAATCATAGAATCATAGAGTTGGAAGAGACCACAAGGGCCATCGAGTCCAACCCCCTGCCAAGCAGGAACACCATCAGAGCACTCCTGACATATGGTTGTCAAGCCTCTGCTTAAAGACCTCCAAAGAAGGAGACTCCACCACACTCCTTGGCAGCAAATTCCACTGTCAAACAGCTCTTACTGTCAGGAAGTTCTTCCTAATGTTTAGGTGGAATCTTCTTTCTTGTAGTTTGGATCCATTGCTCCGTGTCCGCTTCTCTGGAGCAGCAGAAAACAACCTTTCTCCCTCCTCTATGTGACATCCTTTATATATTTGAACATGGCTATCATATCACCCCTTAACCTCCTCTTCTCCAGGCTAAACATGCCCAGCTCTCTTAGCCGTTCCTCATAAGGCATCGTTTCCAGGCCTTTGACCATTTTGGTTGCCCTCCTCTGGACACGTTGCAGTTTGTCAATGTCCTTCTTGAACTGTGGCGCCCAGAACTGGACACAGTACTCCAGGTGAGGTCTGACCAGAGCAGAATACAGTGGCACTATTACTTCCCTTGATCTAGATGCTATACTCCTATTGATGCAGCCCAGAATTGCATTGGCTTTGTTAGCTGCCGCGTCACACTGTTGGCTCATGTCACGTTTGGGGGCAACCACGACTCGTAGATGCTTGTCACATGGTCTGCTCGCAAGCCAGGTGTCACCCATCTTGTATTTGTGCCTCTCATTTTTTTTGCCCAAGTGCAATACATTACATTTCTCCCTGTTAAAATTCATCTTGTTTGTTTTGGCCCAGTTCTCTAATCTGTCAAGGTCGTTTTGAAGTGTGATCCTGTCCTCTGGGGTGTTAGCCACCCCTCCAAGTTTGGTGTCATCTGCAAATTTGATCAGGATGCCCTTGAGTCCATCATCCAAGTCGTTGATAAAGATGTTGAATAAGACCGGGCCCAAGACAGAACCCTGTGGCACCCCACTAGTCACTCTTCTCCAGGATGAAGAGGAACCATTGATGAGCACCCTTTGGGTTCAGTCAGTCAGCCAGTTACAAATCCACTGAGTGGTAGCATAGTCAAGACCACATTTTACCAGCTTCTTTACAAGAATATCATGAGGCACTGTCAGGGAACTGCCATCGGAAGGAAGGGAGGTGAAAGGACTCAGACAGGTTGGAAGAGACTCAGCAGCTGAACAGGGAACCAGCAAGGGGAGAGAAGCTGAACTGAGGGAGGTGAAAGGGCTCAGACAGGTTGGAAGAGACTCAGCAGCTGAAGAGGAAACCAGCAGGGGGAGAGAAGCTGAACTGAGGGAAAGGGAGCTGGGGGGATGGCTCAGAGATACTTCCAGCGAAAACAGTGGTGAGGTTTCCGGACCTCCTGTAGGGACACCCACTCCTCGCCGGAAACTGTCACGCAGAGAGTCCAGAAGACGTGTTTCCGTTAAGGAGCTTTTATGTTGGAAGCGATTACGAAAGCAACCACTGTCGGAATCTTCTAGTGACTAGAGGAGCCATGTCAGAGGGGCTCCGTCACAGACAGAGGTTTGTGGACTTGAACAAACACTGAGGGAATACGATTTTACGCACAAGCAGCTCATCTTCCCATCACAGCATTCCGACAGTCTTTGAACGCAGCTTGTGCAGGAGAAGGCATAATGAGCAACCCAGCAGGAACCGGAGAAGCAGGGGCTGGAGCGGGTCCAAGCCTGGAAGAAAGGTACCGGGTGTTGGAGGTCCAGCTGGCGCTGCAGACGGCGAGGCTGGAGGAGAGGAGGGCTCAAGATGCAGACAAAAGGGAGAAAGCCACCCAGCTCGCCAGAAAGGTACCAGGATTGGTGCAGAAATTTGGGGGGGAGCCCAAAGACTATCATAGCTTTCGGACAGAAATGCAATATGCCCTCAATCTGCAGTTTGATGATTTCCCTGATGAGGAATCACGAGTGGCTTTTGTGATTGGGCATCTTGAAAAGGGGGCGAGAGACTGGGTTAGACCCCTGATGGCAGCGCATAGTGACGTCCTAAAGGACACGATGAAGTTCTTTCGCGCCATGGATCTGATGTTTTCCAGCGATATTGAAAAGGGAGTGGTGCGCAGACAGTTAATGGCTTGCAAACAGGGGAGCCGATCTGTACGTGAGTACTGGACTGAGTTCACCATGCTGATACACAGATTGGGGTGGGACTTATCGGCGGAACCCATTCAAATGCTCTTTGAAGAAGGGCTTTCTTCGGCTGTGAAAGATGAACTTTCCCGGGCGCCCAGGGCGGAGTCTATGGACCAGCTGACCAAATCAGCGCTGGCCATAGGAGCGCGCCAGGAGGCGAGAGCATTGGAGAGGCGGGAAGGGAAAGGGGAACGTTGGAAGGAGTTCCGCATTCCAGACATTCCAGAGCCAACTTTCCCGCCGGCAGAGCCGATGGAAATCGGAACAGCGCGCGCGCGCAGTTTCAAAGCCCAGTGAGGGGGAAAAAGGAGGGAAAAGGCGCCCGGAAATGCTATCTCTGCCAACAGCCAGGGCACTTTGCCAGAGTCTGCCCCCAGAGGAAGGAATGGCAAGGGATGGTGGGAGCTGTGGAGGGAAGAGAGGAAAAATACCGGAGCAACTAAAAGCCAACGCCTGGCTGCCATTGTCGGGGCACAGCAGCCAGGCCAAAGAGCAGTGAAAGTGCCCACGCCAGAACCTCCTAAACCCGCCCTAGTGATAGAAGTGACACTAGAGCTGCCAAACGGACACCCTCTAAAGATAAAGGCGCTGTTGGACTCAGGCAGCTCCTGCAATTTCATGAGCAAAGAGTTTGCAGCTGAACACCAGATACAGACGCTCCCTTTAAGCAACCCCTGCAGGTAACCACGATCGATGGCAGGGAGCTGTTGGGAGGAGAAGTCAGCTTGCAGACCGTCCCAATGATAATGAAGGTGGCAAGGCACACCGAACTAATAGCATTTAATGTGGCCACCTTGGGAGGAGCTCCCATTATATTGGGGATGAGCTGGCTAGCGTTACATGATCCGCTGGTGGGCTGGCATCAAAGAGTGGTTTCTTTTGGGTCAGCACATTGCTTAGAACACTGCAAAGAGGGAAAGGTTTTGGCAGGGGCCCAAGCCACCCTAGCAGGGACTGAAGTAACGGAGAACGTGAAGGTACCACGACAATACGCAGATCTCCGCGACGTCTTCAGCGAAAGGGAAGCTGACCAACTACCACCGCATAGAGCCTTTGACTGTCAAATCAATTTGCTCCCTGGGGCACAGCTCCCTGTGGGCAAGCTGTACGCCATGTCAGACAGAGAGATGCAGGAGCTAAGAGAGTTCATTGACAAGAACCTGAAGAGAGGGTTCATCAGAGAGTCCAGGGCGGTGGGGGCAGCCCAGTGTTTTTGTGGACAAAAAAACACGAACAAGCCGAGACTGGTGTGTGACTTCAGGGCCTTAAATGCAGTGTCAGAACCAGTGGCCTTCCCGATGCCCAGGATTGACGACATTTTGACAAGGGTGCGGAAGGGAAAGATTTTCACCAAGCTGGATCTAAGGGGGGCGTACAACCTGATACGAATAAGGAAGGGGGATGAATGGAAAACCACCATGTTCACCCCTTTAGGGGCATTTGAATACTTAGTTATGCCCTTCGGTCTACAAGCAGGCTCCGCAACATTTCAATCGTTTATGAACCACGTCCTGGGGCCGTTGCTTTACAAGAATTGTGTGGCCTTCTTGGACGACGTGTTGGTGTATTCTGAGAATGAGGAGCAGCATGTGAGAGACGTCAGAGAAGTGTTGAGCAGGCTGCAAGCCAACCAGCTGTGGGTGAAACTGGAGAAGTGTCAGTTTCATACCAAGGAGGTGGAATTCCTGGGGTATCGCCTGTCTGACAAGGGGTTGGCCATGGATCCCGGCAAGGTCCAGGCGGTACTGGAATGGAAAACACCCAAAACAAGGAAGGATGTGCAGAGGTTTTTAGGATTTGGGAACTTCTATCGTAAGTTCATCCCAAACTTTGCCCACCTGACGGCGCCCATTACGGACTGTCTCAGCAGTAAGAAGAAGTTCGTTTGGACGGAGGAGGCGGAGCAAGCATTTGAGGAACTAAAAGGGCCTTCGCCTCGGAACAACAGCTCCTGCATGTGGATTTACAAAAACCGATGAGAGTGGAAACTGACGCATCAGACAGAGCGGTTGGGGCGGTGCTTCTCCAGCCAGGGAAGGAGGAGTCAGAGTGGAGACCGTGTGCTTTTTTCGCGAAAGCTGAACAAATCCGAGAGGAACTACACGGTGTATGACCGAGAACTACTAGCCATTCATGAGGCGTTCCGGAGATGGAGGCACCTGCTAATTGGCGCACAACATAAGGTGCAAGTGTGCACTGACCACAAGAACCTAGAGTATTGGAGGACGGCACGAGTGCTCAACCAACGGCAAGTGAGGTGGGCCCAGGAATTCTCCAAATTTAACTTTGAGATTTGTTACGTGCCAGGCCCAGAGAACATTAGGGCGGACGCTCTCTCACGCAAACCTGAATATTTGGGGGGGAGGGAGCACCCGAAGAGAGACATGTCATTCCAGAGGACCGCTGGGTGTGTGGGGCGGCATTGGTGGGACAAAGAGAACTGGTAGAAGAAACAGAGAATGATGAATACGCCCAGAATAAGCTCAGAGGTCTTAGGGATGAGGGAGAGGAATCAAGGGGTTTCGAGGAAAGAAATGGAGCTTTGTATTACAAAGGGGCACTGTATATCCCTGAAGGAGACTTAAGGGGAGGGTACTCAAGCAGTTGCATGACAGCCCCACGGCGGGGCATTTTGGGCAACACAAAACCATGTGGTTGGTCACCAGGGAATTTTGGTGGCCTAAGGTGAGGGAGGATGTACGTGAGTATGTAAGAGGGTGCGAGCAGTGCCAGCGAGCCAAAGGGGAAAGGCGAGCGCCGGCGGGGCTATTAGAACCCTTACCAACACCAGAACGACCTTGGGAGGCAGTGTCGATAGATTTTATGACTGATCTGCCGAAGTCCAAAGGGAAAACAGCCATCATGGTGGTGGTAGACCTACTAACAAAGATGTGCCACTTTGTAGCTTGCTCGCATGCAGTCACGGCGGAAGAGACAGCGAAGTTATTTGTAGAACACATTTTTAGGTTGCACGGGGTGCCATTGAGGGTGGTCTCAGACCGAGGAAAACAATTTACTTCCAGGTTCTGGAGGAAGCTCATGAGCTTACTGCAGGTGGAGGTCAACTTTCGACTGCCCGGCACCCTGAAACCAACGGGCAGGCGGAAAGAGCAAACGGTGTCCTCCAGCAATACCTGAGGTGTTATGTCAATGACAGAGAGAATGACTGGGTAGAAAAGTTGGCGCTGGCGGAATTTGCCTACAACAATGCCGAGAATGTGTCCACAGGGATGAGCCCCTTCTTGGCTAATTATGGGTGTCATCCCAGGGCTTTCCCAGGGGGAGAAGGGGAGAGATGGAGCGTACCGGCAGCCGAGCATTTTGTAGAAGAAATGGAAGCAATCCACCGTCAGCTCCAACTCAACTTAGAAAGGGCGAAGGAAGAATACAAGAGGCAGGCAGACAAGAACCGAAGGGAAGGTGAAACCATAAGGGTTGGAGATAGGGTGTGGCTGTCAACCCGAGGGTTGCCGTTCAAAGGAGGTTGTAAGAAATTAAGACCCAGGAGGTTGGGTCCCTTTGAGGTCATTCAACAGGTCAACCCAGTGGCTTTCAGGCTCCGGTTACCCAACCACATGAAACTGCACCCAGTATTTCACAGGTCGTTACTGTCACCGTACGAGGGGGGACGAGAAGGGATGGCCACTCGGGGACCGGTCATAGAAGAAAGAGAATGCAGCAGTCATGTGGCAGAAATCCTTGATGCCAGGTGGAAGGGGAATCAGGTGGAGTATTTGGTAGCGTGGGAAGGAGAACCGGAGTCAGAAAACACGTGGGTAATGGCCGAAGATATCAATGACGAGGTATTGATAGAAACGTTCCATCAAAGGTTCCCGAGGAAACCTCAGCCTGTGGAGAGGTTCCGGAGGGAATACTTTGGGACCACTGAGGAGGAGGAGGAGTTGGAAGGATTCCCAGAATCGGAAGGGGAAGGGGAGATGGACTCGGAGGAGGAGGAGTGCTTCGAGACCAGGAACCGCAACAGGTGGAGAGAAGTGTTCGAGACATCGGAAGATGAAGGAAGTTCATTCCGGGGTTTTGCCTCCTCACCGCCCGTAGAGGAGGGGGCGAGAGGGGGTGAAGGGGGCCCTGGAGGGGAGGTGGATGTCAGGGAACTGCCATCGGAAGGAAGGGAGGTGAAAGGACTCAGACAGGTTGGAAGAGACTCAGCAGCTGAACAGGGAAACAGCAAGGGGAGAAGCTGAACTGAGGGAGGTGAAAGGGCTCAGACAGGTTGGAAGAGACTCAGCAGCTGAAGAGGAAACCAGCAGGGGAGAGAAGCTGAACTGAGGGAAAGGGAGCTGGGGGGATGGCTCAGAGATACTTCCAGCGAAAACAGTGGTGAGGTTTCCGGACCTCCTGTAGGGACACCCACTCCTCGCCGGAAACTGTCACGCAGAGAGTCCAGAAGACGTGTTTCCGTTAAGGAGCTTTTATGTTGGAAGCGATTACGAAAGCAACCACTGTCGGAATCTTCTAGTGACTAGAGGAGCCATGTCAGAGGGGCTCCGTCACAGACAGAGGTTTGTGGACTTGAACAAACACTGAGGGAATACGATTTTACGCACAAGCAGCTCATCTTCCCATCACAGGCACCTTGTCAAATGCCTTGCTGAAATCAAGGTAGGCTACGTCCACTGCGTTCCCTTCATCTACCAGGCTTGTAATTCTGTCAAAAAACGAGATCAGGTTAGTCTGACATGACTTATTTTGCAGAAATCCATGCTGACTGTTGGTGATCACAGCATTCCTTTCTAGGTGCTCACAGAATGTTTGCTTAATGATCTGCTCCAGAATCTTCCCTGGTATTGATGTCAGACTGACTGGGCGGTAATTATTTGGGTCCTCTCTTTTCGCATTCCTTTCTTCACAACCTTCCAAGGGCCACATGCCAGTGGTTTGTGGATCCACCAGAGGCAAAGGTGGAAGGAGCAACGAATGCAAATTTTACCTTCACACAGTAGGTTAGGCTCAGGTCCTATTCATGGGCCTCAGGCATCTTGCTTGGCCACTTGGAGAGTGGGATGCTGGACTAGATGGACATGTGGCATCCTGATCCAGCAAGTTCTTCTTATGTTCTTAGATCCAAGGGTCCACTAAGAAGAATGAAAAGGAGCAAAGTTGGCTTAGCACATATTTGAAGGAAAGAAATGCCCATTATCATGTGCTCTGTTTTACAGAAAGCAATTTTCTATTTGTAGGGCTGTCCAACAACAGGGCTATTTGAAAGTTTCCTCTAGTTGAAGCGCTACCTGGTCCAGGTCCGGTTTAAAGATATGAACCTCTAAGCACGGACAGGAGGAGGACCCTTGAGGTTGGTCACCAACAGTTAATGCCTGGGCAGCAGATACAGGTGGCCTGATCAAAGTTTTCTCCACTATGTTGAACTGCATTGTATTTCTATTTATTTCTAAACTTGCATATATACATCAGCATATGATTTTTAAAATGCAAATTGGCATCTGTAAGTCACCTTGCTACATATTGCTGTCTAAAACAGTGCTTTTATAAAGTGGGTAGAAGCACCCCCAGTGGGGGCGAGATTACCAGGTGGGGGGGAGCATTAAGAAGCAAGGGGGAGGCAGTGGGCACTGGAGCTACAATGGCTATCAGACCTTGAGGATGTGCTATCGCTAGATCAAGTTCATCAAGTTCTGTTGAATTAATTAAACCAAATAGTTTCTATTTTAATTTTGAATAATGATGCAATTAACTGTTACTGTTTTGAATTTTCTTGTGTTAGTATCCTACTTGGTGGGTCATGCAAACTGTTATTTTCAATGAAGCTTCTTATGGGGAAGGGAGGGGGAAGGGAAGGGAAGGGAAGGGAAGGGAGCACTGTGGCTGATCTAATGGAACCAAGGAGGCAGTGTCCACAAAAGGTTTGTGAACCACTGGTCTAAAGGGTGAGGAGACTCAGAGTAAATCCATTGAAGTCCAGAACCAAAAGTTCCCTAACTAAAGCACTGCAGGATAGTGCCGCCCTCCCCCCCCACTCTTTTCTTAATGAATATGGAGGCATTTAAGCCCCCTGCTGTTTGAGGTGTTTTTCTTTTGCTCTTACATTTGAGATTGATATTCAGTCTAACGATGGATCCGGTTGTACTTAATCTAGAATACCTACATCTCAAGGCACATTAAGCCATGTTTACCATCTGGAGAAGCAGTTTCAGGCAGGATAAGAAGAAAACTAATGTACTCTGGAGCATATGATGAAATGTTAGCAAAAGAATGTTTTCAAAAGGCATCTGTCAGATGTTCCCATAAAGGCAAAACAGGGGCAGTGGTTTACTAAGGACAGGGACTATAAAAGGGGTGCTGTCCTTGTTAAATAGTGACTGTTGGGAGTGTGTGCTCTCCCAGGCAAATCGCTTTTTAAAAAAAATATTTACTTTAATGTCCAGAAATGCCTTGTTAATGTTCATAACCAAGGGTCGTCTAGTCTAATCTCCTGCAATGCATAAATCACAACTAAGTAATCCATGACAGATAGTCTCTTACAGTTGGCTCCTATCAAGCAGAGGTGGATAGCCATCTACCTTCGCCCCCATAAAATTCCCTTAGCCCCCATAAAATATTTGAGGGGGGTCAGGGCCCCCCAAGTTGATAGGCATTGCCATTCAAATGGCACCTGGGCCCTCCCAATATTTTATTTAAGTTGGCACCCCTGCTCTGCTTTAAAACTTCCAGTAAAGAACAGTACATCTCCTTCTGTTCATTTGAACTCCCAGAGTTGTATCCCCACCCCATGTAAGTTTTTTCTTTCTTTCTAGCATGGCAGTATGAGCAGTGGTAGATGACTGGGTCCAGCAGTTGTTTTAGGCCCCAAATACCTGAAAGATCACCTGCTTCCCTACAAATCCTCTTAGATCTTAAGATCAGCAGAGGGGGCCCTCTTGATATTTTCACCACCCTGGAAAGTTTGGGTGGTGACTGCCTGGGAGAGGACATCCTCTGTGGTAGCCCCTGAGCTTAGGGAAATTTGGTCAATTCCCTCCCACAGAAGTGTATTTGACAGCTTGATTGTATATCTTTCACCATATGCTGAAGGCTAGGGCTGTGACTCAGGTTCAGCAGCCCAAGATTGCCCCAGATCGGATTGGGTCCATTCATACTTTGGGTTAATTCATTCTACTATATGATATCATTGTATTGTGAAATATAGGATGAGAAATAGTAATTTAATCTTTGCTGGACTGGTCATTCCAGAATGTCAAATGGCTCCTCTGTACAGTGGTACCTCAGGTTACAGACGGCTCAGGTTACAGACTCCGCTAACCCAGAAATAGTACCTCGGGTTAAGAACTTTGCTTCAGGATGAGAACAGAAATTGTGCCGTGGCGGCAGCGGGAGGCCCCATTAGCTAAAGTGGTGCCTCAGGTTAAGAACAGTTTCAGGTTAAGAATGGACCTCCAGAACAAATTAAGTTCTTAGCCCGAGGTACCACTGTATATGTTTGTTCTTGTTTTGTTTTCCTCAAATTAAATAAATATATGTTTGTTTGTTTCTTTTTAAAAATATAAATACTTGCCTCTATTTTTCATGTTTGAAGGGATGCATTAGATTCACATTTCCCCCCTTTTCTTCTTGGCACTAAGTTATCTCCAGATTGCACTTTCTTTTCTCTTTTTTTAAAGAGTCTTCACTGAGTTACTCTCAGACAGCTTGGAGTTGTCAGCCACTCTCCAATCTCCCAGCCAACATTAAGTCATGGCTTTCGCAGAAAGACAGAAAAGAACCGTCACTTTTTCTCTGCCAGAGATGATCAGTCTGGAGCCTGTCACCAGCCTCAAGTCTCGTTCTAAAATATTTAATTTTGTGATGATAAATTGGCAGATTGTTTGAAACAGACAACAAGGAAACAGAAGGGTGGGGAAAACAGACATGGGCAATCTGTTGCACTGCCCTCCCCGGGCCAGGTTGAGAGTGTTTTCAGAAAGATGGAAGAAGAGGAGATGTCCACAGCTCAGCTGCAGAGCATTTGTCTTGCATGCAGAAGGTCCCAGGTTCAATTTCAGGCAGGGTGGGAAAGGCTTGTGCCTGAAATCCTGAGCAGCCACTGCCAGCCAGTGTAGACAATATTGAGCTAAATGGAAAAGTGATCTTGCTCAGTATAAGGCAGCTTCTTATCTCCGTATAGCGTAAGATCTTAGACTTCTTTGTGAAGCTTTTGGGGAAGGACCATAGCTCAGTGGTAGGGGATCTGTTCTGAAAAGCGTGGAAGCCAACTCTCCCATCTTCTACTCTACCCACACAAGTAAGCTCTTCTGATCTGGCCAGCAAGGCAAGAATTGCAGTACCATGGAGAGCTCTGAGCAAACCACTTGCTCCAACAATGGTTGAAAGCAGACAGGGACTGGATCTAGACACAATTTTAAAAAAGCATTACAGGAAAACACATTATAAAGCTCATAATGCAAAATCACATAGGCAATTTTGGCTGTTCTACAGCACCATCTGGTGTCACATGTTTATAGCACAGTTATAACGATATAATTGAGTGTAGCTGAGTCCAGGGCCTTTAAAAGCCTTTTAAGCCTCTGCTCCCAGACTACAGGTTCATTCAGACTACTTTTTGTGCTGCATTTCTAGGCATAGGTCCATGTTTTAAAGCACTGTGTTCAAGTGCTTTTTAAAAAATGCCCGTGCACTTTCCCCATGAA